ACCTTCTATAAATAAAGATTTTATTATAGTATTATTATTATTATTATTATTATTATTATTATTATTAAATAAAGAAATGTATAATTGTTATAATTTTATTGAAACAAGTGACATCATGGGAAAATAAAGAGATTCTTTTTAAACCTAAAGTACTTGGTTTTTGATTTATCGGTTTCAAATGGTAGTTAAATATTTATAAACAATGCTATACAATACATTGTATAGGTTCATACGTAATGATGCGCTTAGGTGCGAATTTTTAACAAAAAAATGCTGTCAGACACTCAGTGAAAAAAATGATTAATAACATGACCTTATTATTTAATTATGAATTTTAAAAAACTACAATTTATAGGTCATTGAATATAACATGAGGATGTGAATAAAGTAACGTTTTTTATGACGCACATCAATATTGTAAATTTTGAAGCACTAAAGGGAAAAATAAAAGCAATTAAAAGCCCATTACGTCCCATTTTAATGACACACTTCAATATTGTAAATTCTTAAACACTACATTACATTTTTTTAATTTCCCAAAAACCTTTTAAATTTTTATATCACAGTTTTCAAATAGTTACTAATTGGTCATATAACTGAAATATCGCTTGCTTCTTTTAAAGTTTGGCATTCAGTGCAGTTATAGTGATTTAGTGTTTTGTATGAACATCAAGATACGATTTTGTAACATTTTATTACCTCAAAGACGAATATTTATCGCTACCGTCATCTAACATCCGCCAAAATATTAATAAAGCAGGCAAAACTTGCTATAAGTAAAATATTTCATTTCTCCTTCATAGAAAATAGAATGTATCAAGTTCTGAGGCCAAAAGATCTTTTAAGCCAAAAGATTGTAGAGAGAGAGACAGTACTATTGGGTCAAATGATGTATACAGTATGTCTAATATGTTTGCATACATGCAATAGCTTCAATTTTATTTTTAGTGACCGAGAGTGAGATAGCATAACTTTTTCAAACGCCCTGGTACCAGGCACGGTGACGGGTACCCCTAGCGTCTTGTCTGGTTCCCATCTGCTTGATAGTCACCCTATTTTAAGCAGACGACAATATTCTCAGCATGCAATGAAGGATATGTGTTTAAGTCTTCTAGTCAACCAATTTCTTCACTACGGACCGAAGTTTTGTGAATTCGGTTGCTGGACAGGGCAAATGTTGTTGCTTTTTTCTCGGTGGGGTCGGGGTTGGGGTGGTAGTGTTGTTTTTTTTGTAATGATTTGGTCATCAATTATTTTATGCAATATCATTCTTATCCACGTTGTTATATAAATTACTGTTTTTATGCTGTAAACCACTTTTTTATCACCCCATCATCATCAGAAAAGGCCTATTTTATAGACATTTTTCTACCAATACATCTTGAGCTAGGATATTTATATATATAATTATACGGATGATATATCATCATCTATATTTAGCAAGTATAAGTGATTTATTTAAAAATATAAAGAAAGCGGTCACCTCTATTATGTAAAAGTGCTCGAGTAATTGAACTGTAAACATTATCACAGATCGAATAATTATGTAACACTTGTGTCATAAATGATAGTAATATTAATAATAATTTAATGTAATACATTATTAATGATTAGTTTTGAAACGTCCGCAGGAGAGAAAACTGTTTTAACCAATAATTTTGTAGAATAAAAAAAATCATTATTTGGTAAAAAAAAATGTCGTCACACATTTTACACCTAGCAGAAGCCGACTATGTGATTGTAAAGTTTAAAACAGTCACTATTTTCAGAACTTGTTGTCTAACCATTTTGCTTTTTATACATTTTAAATGTACAATATACAATATGCAATGTAGTATGGAAAACTAATAAACACACATCATGCCGACAATAAAAATATATCATTTGGATATTACGAGTATCAGATATTTCTTAAAAGAAATGAAAGAGTTCTTAGTTATGAACTTAAATAAAGAAGCTCCACTGAGGTGGTCAAAAATTGTAAAACAACAACAACAACAACAAAAACCCATACAATTTGAAATTCTTACATTCATCTAGTGATGCATTTAAAGTGGAAACATCTACAAAGATATTAAAGAAACTTAGTCGGAATTATAGTAAAAATCTTTTTACTCCTGCTCTGCAAAGCTTTTTATTTTTTTCATTTTACATAACAAAAACAATTATTATTTAATTTTAATTATTAAAAAATAATAAGATTAAAATAAAGAAATAAATTAAAAACATTCGGCGTATAATGTTGTCACATAATGAAATGCCCGCTAAATATCTGGCCACACTACGAAGTGGACATAATTATTCGCCATACTTTTGGCGCCAAAACAAAACCACGGCAGTGACCCAAAGTTCCAAAGTTAAAAGTTAAAAGATTAAAATAAGCTTCCTGAAATTTCTCGAATTTTAAAACTCAAAATGTTATAATATTTCAAAAATTACATAACCTCAGAATTTCACATTTCCGTTTAAAGTAATTCTTATTTTTTCTTTACATCTGTTGGACTGACTTGTCCGGTTTAGATATTTTAAATGGTTCATTGTGAACTCAAAAGATTCAGTATAAAAATATTAAAATGGTTTATCTATACATGATACTGCTGATAAGCCTTGCCAATGACAAAGATTCGAAAATTTGATAAAAAATGACATTAAAATTTATATGAAATATACAAAACCAACATAGTGCGTTTGCGACCAGTATGGATCCAGACCAGCCTGCGCATCCGCGCAGTCTGGTCAGGATGCATGCTGTTCTTTATCAGTTTCTCTACTTGTTATAAGGTAGGTAAGCGAACAGCATGGATCCTAACCAGACTGCGCGGATGCTGGTTTCAAACCCATTATGTAGGTTTTGTCGTGACGCGGCTCATATTAAATTAATCCGAGTACAGTTCAGTTTAAACATAATTTCGTATTTAAGGTCGAATATAATGAACATTTGAAGGATCTTCACCTTACCAGTACTGGTGTCATATGAGGAGAAATTGTCGCCACCTTGTTAGAGCTTGAACCCAAGAAATACAGAGAGGAAAATACCTTAACCATCAGGCCAACGTTGCCTTCAGTATAATTTCAATTTTCATTCAACAATGGTCGCAATGTTTTGTATATTTGTCACAATTAAAACTTAATCCAGTCTTGAAAAAGGTATATAGCAAAATAAGTGTCATTTTAGGCGACACCGGATTCGAAAAGTCAAATATATATTATATTTATAGACAATCTGTTGACATGTTTTCGAAATAAAAATGTCCGTTTTAAGATGTTATTACATGGAATTTGTTTACATTAAAAGCGGAAATCGGACCCCATATAATTCTCCTATATGTTCTTATTAATAAAACATTTGTTTATTGCATTTATAGATGCAATGAGCTGACTGTTAATTAGATTTTTTTTGTTTACTTGATTGCATTAAGACATTCATATGAAGTTAATTGTCTTTAATAATTTGTTAACAGATGCACTGTGCACTTTGAGACGACATGTTGTCGTCATTTGAATAATAAAACCTTCTTTTTGTACCGGTCTTTAAAAATCTATTAAATATGTCCCGGCCTTATTGAAAACATATGAGCCGCGCCATGACAAAACCAACATAGTGGGTTTGCGACCTGCGCATCCGCCCAGTCTGATCAGGATCCATGCTGTTCGCTTACAAACTCTATTACAAGTAGAGAAACTGATAGCGAAAAGCATGGATCCTGATCAGACTGTGCGGAGGCGCAGGCTGGTCTCGATCCATGCTGGTCGCAAACCCATTATGTTGGTTTTGTCATGACGCTGCTCTGTCAGTTTTGTCTTATGTTAACCTATGTGAATTTTCATTCGTAATCAGTTTTGTAAATGGTGAGAAATATGAGTTCATTTATTGTGTATGTATTATTTGTTATCACTTATAACATGTAAAATGCGTTCATAATTTATTACATTAATTGGGATATGCGCTATTTTTATACTGTTTCTAATAAATATGCTTTTATTTCATCTTTTGACGTTACGTAAAAAATATCACATCACGTATGTAGTATGTTTATCATTCATTTCGATGAAGGCGTTAGCACCGATAAAAATAAATTATTGTTATTTGTTTTAATTGTTTGACATTATGACATTGCACGTTAACATAATTATGATCTAGTATACTCGTATAGATACAGTATTTCGGAAATCGTTGAGACAGGATTCAAAGGGAGAGCTTCTAAAAGAATGACGGACTTGCCATTATTAATTTTTATTGTTGTTGTATAATAACTTTACTTTATTTCTTCATCATTGTGTTTATTTTCTATTTTTCAGATTGTAAATAAAGGGGAAAAGCGGGTGTAACTGTCGTATAATGTTCGTTTTTTTGAAGCAATATTGGAAACCGTACCAAAACTTTTATTTTTTTCATAAAGATTTGCATACGTTGCTAAATAATTGGCTCATGCTTCTACATACAGGGATGCGACAAGGCAAGCATCCTACTCCCTATCTATTATTGATAATTATCATTGTTTGAAACCTCGTCGAATCAACACTGCATAGATCATGTGACGACTTTCCAGCTGTACATATGGAAGTTGACATCTCGTGCCCTCCTTGCATTATTTGAGTAGAATCACTGAAGTTACATAAGCTAGCTGGAGTGATACCTCATATGAAAATTATCAAGTCTCTGACGGTACTCAAAACCACAACGATGAGGGGCTAGTGGTTTGAAACCAACGACCTTAACCACTCGGTCAAGGTCCCCCTTATGTTAGGAACCATTTAGGGAATAGCAGGAATAACAGATTACAATGCAACGTATTATTTAACAAAACGCACCACATTTTTATATGGGATGAACTTAGGCGAGGCTTATTTACTCGATCTAATTATCAGACAATATAAGTACGCAATACGAACAATGTTGTGACTAATCTTCCTGATATAACAAGTGTCAACCCTGTCGTTAAAAATATACCAATATTATTCATACAGAAATTAAAATGACGATAAAACATCGCCTTTACCTTTTCACCACCACAGTTAAGTTGCATATAATTATAATTTTTCCGTGTGTTATATCCATATTTCCACATGACCGCTCTATTGGGAGGGTCATAGAGAGATCCCGACCCCCGGGCGTGTAATATTAAGTCCACAATAGTTAGTATAAATAACGAGTACTGTACAATTGCCATTGTTATATGTCAGATGAGAGTCTATTTCTTAAACATTATATCCACTTTTAACTTTCTCATATAGCTATTTTAATTTTTTTTTAGCTAAATGCTAAGTCTAAGATCTTAAAAAATCTATTTTCATAAAAAAAACTAATTGGCAAAACAAATCCGAAAAAATAACAACCACGGGTCCATTCACAAGTTTAAGATCCGACAGGTTCTGGAAAGCTCTTTTCATCTAGATCCATTCATTTCTAACACTACTTCATGTACAAACAAAGACGGAGACTAGCCTCAATCCTTCAATTATAACTGCATTAATTGATCACACGTTACGTTAACGTCTATAATGTAACGTTAACGTTTATAACGTTATACGTTAACGCTCGATCAATCCATTACTCTCATTAAGTAGTTAATACATTTTGAGCTTAGTTATAAAGACATTTGGAGAAAGCGAAGGAAATGAGGGAAAAGTTTGCCCATAATTAGAAATTTTAGATTTTTTTTAACAAAGGAAAATTAAGAACATCTTAACAAGCGTAGAGAATTTTCTGTGCGTAATAAAATTGCAAACTTTTCTTCGGGCAATGTCCCCTTTTGAAGAACAGATGCAGTATATTGTCCTATCTTAAAAGCAAAGCAAAATATATTTTGGTAGAATTATTTTTTAAGTTTGCATAATTACTAAAACGAAGTAAAACAAAATAGTTTCAAATAAAAAAAATAGTATAAGAGGATTTTAGTTATTTGTACTAGATTACATTGTACATAATCACGGACACTATTGTAATTTAAATATTCAGACTAGACTAGACTAGACTATATTCATTCTAAATATGACCCATTTAAATCTATTTTCGGATTATATAACCAACCCGAGCAGCAATGCCATGTATATATGTGATAACTTATTATTAAGATTAAAGAGATAAATGTTGGTTCTTCTTTCTATATTTTGTATTCGGAAATCATCGATCAATTACGGAGAAATCGATGATAGATGTTAGCCGGTTAGGGGATATAATAATACAAGTCATGTAAAATATTCCGGGGTAATAACGGACCAACCAATCAAATACAGGTTTCGTTTTGTACATATATGAAATACTACAATTACATTATTCATTTAAATTTCTATATTGAATTTCTTGAATAACGCACTAAGATAATTATGTTGATTGATCTATGACCATATATATGGTGGCGTTTTCAAGCCATTAACCATTTGTCAGGTTATCAGGTTTACGACAATCTGCCATGCTAAACCAAATTCCGAGCATGGCAAAATATGACACCGTAGACAGGCCAGTTTTCGATTCACATGTTAATGTGCTAATGTTAAGAGACATGGTATGTATTTATGTCGTTAAAAAAAGATTAATTATGACATATAGAACGGTGTATGTTACCATTTAACCTTTGCTTTTACAAATATTAAAAATCGTGGTTTAACTTACATTTTAATTAAGTTCACAGTCACGAGCGTATCTTATTTCCGGTTTTTACGACATCGCGTTTCTTAAAGCGTAAACTGTGTCGTAATGGGGCTACGAATCATAATGTATATTACAGTGTTTCACAGGTTTGTTTGATCATTTGTTTAAATTTAGATTGGGGCTTATCATGCAAGGTTAAAAATTAGGAAAAAGGTTTACTGTAAACCATTGATTTTATGATGTCACTTTACCTGACGTGGGAAAGGCATATATTACGTTTATGTTTTGCTGTCACGTGACCCAAATCGCAAATCGTCGGCCTTTTCCGTCACACTTCGGATACAAAGATCATTAATATTCTGAAAAAAAGTGTTTATGGTCACGTGATCCATTGGTAATAACAATGTGAGCTTTGTAAAAAACAACAACAAAAACCCCAACTCTTTCTCTTGTCAAAGTGAAGAGTCTTTTAGTTTCATCCTAACTGGGCCTAAAAGTTTATCTTTCTGTCCTTTAAAGCGAGGTACCCGAACAGTAAAATAACCAGCCATTGCTATATAGAATGCTTTTTAAATGAAAACTAAAAGCGGTGGTAAGATGTGTCATTTTGCATCTTGAATTAACCACACTGAAAAAAACAATTAACTCACTTCTGTACAATATGTACTCTATAAATTGTTATCGGCTGAAATTTACGATAATGGCGTCCTATTTGCATATATATCCATCAATGTGACCTGCTATACATAGCTTTGAAGTGTTAAAATGTTTAAAAAATTTAACAAATTAACATCTATTAAAATAGGACTTTTAAAATCGATAGGGAAAAAAATATTAAAAACTTCCCCTAACTTTGATGTATTTTCCACGTTCAATAATAGACTGAATTATTTGCGGTGCAAAAAGATTGACGAGTGCTTTCTTGTCGTGATGCTTCTTCACAATGATATTGTCACGTTTGTGCCCAAGGTGTCTTCAAAAGTTGTCGTGATATTTATCACAAGTATGTCGCGACAATTATACAGAAGTATGTTGTGACGTATATTCACAAGCGAGTTGTGACGTCTCTTTGCAAGTATGTCGCGACAGTTATTCAAAAGTATGTCGCAATGTTTCTTCACAAGCTTATTGTAATGTTTATTAACAAGTTTGTCGTGTAAAGTTTCTTTGCAAGTATGTCATGACGTTTATTCACAAGTATGTCGTGACGTTTCTTTACAAGTATGTCGTGACGTTTCTTTACAGGTATGTCGTAACGTTTCTTTACAAGTATGTCGTGGAGTTTATTCACAAGTTTGTCGTAACGTTTCTTTACAAGTATGTCGTGACTTTTCTTTACAAGTTTGTCGTGATGTTTCATCACAAAAATGTCTTGACATTTATTCACAAGTATGCTGTGATGTTCCTTCACAAATGTGTCGTGACTTTTCTTTACAAGGTTGTCGTGACATTGTAACGTTTTTTTATAAGTATGTCGCGACGTTTCTTTACAAGTTTGTCGTGACATTTCTTTACAAGTATGTCGTGGCGTTTCTTTACAAGTATGTCGTGGAGTTTATTCACAAGTTTGTCGTAACGTTTCTTTACAAGTATGACGCGACGTTTCTTAACAAGTATTCGTAACGTTTATTCATAAGTATGTCACGACGTTTCTTTACAAGTATGTCGCAACGTTTATTCATAAGTATGTTGTGGCGTTTCTTTACAAGTTTGTCGTGTCGTTTCTTTACAAGGGTGTCGCAACGTTTATTCATAAGTATGTTGTGGCGTTTCTTTACAAGTTTGTCGTGACGTTTCTTTACAAGTATGTCGTGACGTTTCTTTACAAGGGTGTCGCAAAGTTTATTCATAAGTATGTTGTGACGTTTCTTTACAAGTTTGTCGTGACGTTTCTTTACAAGTATGTCGTGACGTTTCTTTACAAGGGTGTCGCAACGTTTATTCATAAGTATGTTGTGGCGTTTCTTTACAAGTATGTCGTGACGTTTCTTTACAAGTATGTCGTGACGTTTCTTTACAAGTATGTCGTGACGTTTCTTTACAAGTATATCGTAACGTTTCTTTACAAGGGTGTCGCAACGTTTATTCATAAGTATGTTGTGGCGTTTCTTTACCAGTATGTCATGACGTTTCTTTACAAGTATATCGTAACGTTTCTTTACAAGGGTGTCGCAACGTTTATTCATAAGTATGTTTTGGCGTTTCTTTACAAGTATGTCGTGACGTTTCTTTACAAGTATGTCGTGGCGTTTCTTTACAAGTATGTCGTGACGTTTCTTTACAAGGGTGTCGCAACGTTTATTCATAAGTATGTTGTGGCGTTTCTTTACAAGTTTGTCGTGACGTTTCTTTACAAGTATGTCGTGACGTTTCTTTGCAAGTATGTCGTGACGTTTCTTTACAAGTATATCGTAACGTTTCTTTACAAGGGTGTCGCAACGTTTATCTAAAAGTATGTTGTGGCGTTTCTTTACAAGTTTGTCATGACGTTTCTTTACAAGTATGTCGTGACGTTTCTTTACAAGGGTGTCGCAACGTTTATTCATAAGTATGTTGTGGCGTTTCTTACAAGTTTGTCGTGACGTTTCTTTACAAGTATGTCGTGACGTTTCTTTACAAGTGTGTCGTGACGTTTCTTTACAAGTATATCGTAACGTTTATTCATAAGTACGTCGTAACGTTTCTTTACAAGTATGTCGTGACGTTTCTTTACAAGTATATCGTAACGTTTCTTTACAAGGGTGTCGCAACGTTTATTCATAAGTATGTTGTGGCGTTTCTTTACAAGTTTGGCGTGACGTTTCTTTACAAGTATGTCGTGACGTTTCTTTACAAGTATATCGTAACGTTTCTTTACAAGTATATCGTAACGTTAATTCATAAGTATGTCGTGACGTTTCTTTACAAGTATGTCGTGACGTTTCTTTACAAGTATATCGTAACGTTTCTTTACAAGGGTGTCGCAACGTTTATTCATAAGTATGTTGTGGCGTTTCTTTACAAGTATGTCGTGACGTTTCTTTACAAGTTTGTCGTGGCGTTTCTTTACAAGTTTGTCGTAACGTTTCTTTACAAGTATGTCGCAACGTTTATTCATAAGTATGTTGTGGCGTTTCTTTACAAGTTTGTCGTGACGTTTCTTTACAAGTATGTCGTGACGTTTCTTTACAAGTATATCGTAACGTTTCTTTACAAGTATATCGTAACGTTTATTCATAAGTACGTCGTAACGTTTCTTTACAAGTACGTCGTAACGTTTCTTTACAAGTATATCGTAACTTTTTTCACAAGTATGCTGTGATGTTCCTTCACAAATGTGTCGTGACGTTTCTTTACAAGGTTGTCGTGACATTGTAACGTTTCATCACAAGTATGACGCGACAATTATTCCCTAGCATATCGTGACGTTTTATCACAAGAATGTCGTGACGCTTCATCACAAGTATGTCATGACGTTTCATCACAAAAATGTCGCGACATTTATTCACTAGTATGCTGTGATGTTCATTCACAATTGTGTCGTGACGTTTCTTTACAAGCTTGTCGTGACATTACCAGTTTTGGTCACGCGTTTGCTTTAGCAGTGTATTACTTTTTGCTGTTGAATAAAATTCGATTATTCTATACTTAATTCTTTATACATTGTAATTATAGAGCTTGTTCAAAATAAACTAAAACCTTTGGTTTCATTTCGTAAACGAAGTGACATAATAAAAAATAAATCTTGAATAGGGTCATCCTTCTGCAAATAACCTTGAATTATCTCTGTTTAAAAACTGTTTATAAGCACTTGTTTGTTATTATGCATGTACTACTTAATTCGTTATAAACAATATAATATATTATCAAAACAACGAACAGCGCAAAAACTTCCCTTATGCAATGCATTATTTGAACAATTATACAAAACTGTTAGATATATCATAATTACTCGAATTTACAAGGACAACATACCCATTACTTCATATAGACGTCTTTTCACGCCTTTTCATTCTCCTCTTACTTTTGAGGACTCAAATGGTGAAAAAAATACAAAACAACAACAACAATACACAAAAACAACAAAAAACAAAAACAAACCAAAAAACGAAACAACAAAAAAATATATAAATGCATATACATAAACATTTTCTTAGGAAATATATAAAGTTGTTGATTTTGTGAAATCCACTCGAATATACACCCGTTCCGGGCGGATTGCTAAATGGGCGTAACAATTGCACATTCCGCCCTGATATACCCTCGATCTATTTTAATCTTCTAAATGGATTTTCATTTTTGTGTACCTAGTAAAACAGAGAGTTGTAACAGACAAAAACAATACATTTATCACAAGTTTGTTTTTCAAACACTGACTTCATTTAAATTTAAGACTATCTATCAATTTGTCGCAATTTTTTACAATTGCAAAACCCGCCGGATAAACGCATTCTTTATGTGCACCAACTTGAACGGATAGATACTTGTAGTTAGGTGCAATTGGTGGATTTAATTTTTAGATAAAAAACTGACTTCGTCATGTTCGGGCTTACATAATAATGTATCATTATCTAAGTAAAATACAATTACTTTTACTGATGACTGATCAAACGCCCCTAGCGGTTACACTAGAAACAAATGTCATCAAAAGTAAAAATTCATCCGTCTCAGAATCGAGTAAATTTTCTAATTTAGATATTAAAAAGCTAATACTTTTGTTACGTCACATTTGGTTTTCGTCATTAAATCATTTGATAATGTACAAAAAAGTTAATTAAAAAAGTAATGAAATAAATAAATGAATAAATAAATACAAATAAATAAATAGATAAATAAAATGTAAAACTCAGGTAAATCGCCGCGAGAGGCCCGCTTGGCATGCGGCTATTTGTTCTTTCTGTATATAAAGTCTTTGGAATTTTCGTAAACACAACCATTTTCTAGTTTCATCAGAATTCGTTTGGTTCCGTTGAAAATTACTAATAGCAGTAGTTTGAACATCCGTTTTTACGGAAATAAAAGGTTTAGACCAAGGGAAATGACAGCAAAGTACCCGCGTGGCATGATCGCTGTTTGAACCGGCAATTTCTTTTTTCTGTATATTAAGTCTTCAAATTTCGTAAAAAACATTTCATTTTCTGGAGTCAACCGTCCGTCAAAAAAAAGCAAGTTTTCAGTTATGGCAATTTAACGACGGAATATCGTGTGCTTTTTACGAAAATTCAAAGACTTTATAGACATGTATTTTGTTTAATTCGCACGGGAATGAGACAAATGATTTTGTTCAAAAACTTCATATATAGAGGATATGAATCTATCAGCTTATAGACAAACTCACGAAATACGTTCCTTGAACAAACCAGTTCTTCGGAAGTGCTGAGTGTCATAGGCTCGTATAATATAATTTAATTCAACTCGCTTGAAATGAATTCACTATTGAACCTACACTCAGTATCCTCTATATTGTAATTATATCAACATACGACTCAAGAAAAATGCGGATTTTTACGTTCCTATCGAGGTTATTGGTAAATAAAAATGATAACACATTTTTCCTCATTCATTTGCTGATTAAATGTTTCATTTTGACTGCAAACAGGATTAAAATAGGAGGAAGCAGACTATAAATTAATACATTAATACAACACTGTCTTTTTATCTATTTAAAGGATTATGAATAATTTATCTTTACAGCGGCCGTCATCTTTTGTTTTTTGATATAACTCTGTATTGTTTCAGCTAAATTATTTCAGTAAAACCCCAGTCACACTAGAGCTTACGATTACTTGCGACTACCGGCGACGTGTAAAACCGACGATCATCGCCGATTGTCTGCGATCAAGCCCTCTTTGAACAGATAAATTCACTTCTGCAATTATCGTACGACCAATCATCATTGACAATCGCACGACAGGTCATCAGCAAACGTACGATGGTCTCAAGATTGCCTGGGATTACTTACAACTACCCGTGACCTGTCATGCGATCACCTACAACTTGTCGTACGACCATCACACTATTACTAAAGACTACTCAGGATTACCAGTGACTAGTGGCAATTTGTAAAGACTGTCGTAAGATTGTCGCACTTTCGAGCGACGATCGTGCGACAGCCTAAGACCTTATAAGATCACTAGCAACCTGTTTGATCGCAGAAAGGTTTTTGTGCAAGCTCAAAAACCTCTCTACGACTGAAATTGGTCGTCGGTCCTAAATAAGATAACCTGCGACTATCGAAGATCACCAATGACCGTCGTAAGGCGTTTTAAAGATTGTCCGCGACCAGTGGTCGCTGGTCTTCGTGAACTGGTCTTGACTGGTCGTAAACTCTATGTGACTGGGGCTTTATTTTATTCATATCATTGTATTAAGCCTTCATCAAAACAGCGTCCCGAGATAACGCGTCAGTAGCGTTCGATTCTAAAAATAGAAGATCGGGTGTGTGCATACTGGGCACCGGCTTGCCATATGTCCCGGACTATCGGCTTCTGTTACGTAGCTTGTCGTAGAGCCGCTACGGAGGACTATATTAGTTAAATCACATCTAAACGTCGTTTCTGCTCTATGACTATATGTCACCATTGCATACGCCTTTAAATGCGTACATATCGCAACTTTTGACCTTATTTCACTTTTTAAGTATAAGATACATTTAATACCCGGATTAAAAAAGAATTCCAACATGACAAGCTTGTTGCTACCAATCGGCATGGCTTTGTCAATTAGGTCAAGTTTGTAGAGGTTGTCTTTGTGCCGAATGTTATCTTTTTAAGAGTTAATTGCCGTAAAAAGTTGTTTAAAATGTGTGGTCCTTTCTGAGTCTGACAACTTTGATTGACCGAGTTTGAACAAAGTATTTTATACATTTTTTTTGCGACGAATTGCTTATTTATATACGTAACATTTTTACGGTAACACTTTGTATCAGAAAGCGATATAAGATATGATTTTTCAAATTTTCGTGGTGTGTGCTATATTTCAACAAGCGTTTGGTCATGGCTGGATGAGGGAACCAGTCAGTCGTTCAAGCGCCTGGAGACTCGGATTTCCAACTCCAAGGAATTTCAATGACGACAATTTAGCTTGTGGTGGATTTTTAGTAAGTTTCTATTTATTTGAGGTATATATTTTTGAATTGCAATATCTTCTCGAAACGGGTGATCATCTCAAGCGCTTATTGCCATTGTACTTTTTATTGTGCGTCTTTGTTTTAACTGTGACGTCTAACCCTTTAATATATTTGTTATCCTTCATACGGAAATGCAAAAAGGGAAATAAGTACAAACATTAACAGTTTGAATTACTGTTCTTTGATATTACAATTTTTTTTCGAATTGCCATCTCTCAATACCTTAGCTTTCAAGCATATCCCTTGTTATGTCCCTGATGAGGAAAAGGCTTGTAAAAGGTTTTTGTTGGCTTTACAAAATCAAAGCACAGAAGGCGCTGAAATGTTTAGGTCTCAGAATGTCAGAAAGGTGAAGGTTGTGAGATTATAAACCAATTTGTTTTTGTATAGTGTCAGCAATGATGTTTCCAGTGTTAAAGCTACATGCCTCCAGATGAGTCAAAATATTTCAATAAAACCAAACTTGAGAAATATGTACTACGATTTTAGGAAACGTAAAATGGTTCAATATTCAAGTAATATTTTACATGTTATGTGCGGTTAATGACTGATTTTTTAGTATTTACAACTGTATTTCTACTGCGTTACTAACGCAGTAAGGGCTATTTATGCATATTTTGACCACTTTTTGGTAATTTACATGGCTTGTAAGTGCCATTGATAATGTGCAAATGGCTTCTGGTTATTTCACAATATTATACATTCAAATACATTTTCAAAATTTTCATGATAATAAGTTATAATCTGGAGGCGTGCTGCTTTAAAACTGTAGCATATTGTCCCTGTCCTAGAGTCAACATCCTTACTTTATTTTTTCAGAAAGTCTAAAGAACAAATTTTCATTTAGGCGATCACAATAATCCGAAGCTTTACGAAAATAGCCGAGCAATTTTCATTGATTAAAATGATATTCATCTGCGTAACAAAATTATTTGAATCTATTACTGGTAATTTGCGGAAATGTTGAAGAATTACACAACATTAGAAATTTTCGATAAATCGGGAACTATTTTTTTCCCTCATAGGTTTGAAAATTAATGCGCCTGTCATTTGACAATCTTTATGCAGTGATCTCCCCTTATTTTTTCGGTGTTAGTGTACTTATAAAGGGAAGTACCCGCTTCGAGAAATTCGTGATAGACTACTTTCGAATTTTGAAAATAAGCATATCAGGGCCTGAAATTTCGCTACCATTATTTGTTTGGTCTGACGACCCAAACAAATAAAAACCATGTATAAAGATATAATCTGAATGGAATATTGAAGTAAATAATTACTTGATTAAATAAATAAAATAATCACACAGTGGTTTATCCAAAATAAACACACGTGTGAAAGTTTGTATAGATTAATGTAAGTATAATGATGATATAGAATTATCATGAATTTATGCGCTTAACCTGTGTTTAAACCAAGATATGTATTTACTACGTTCAATTATTAAATAACATGCAATAAACGCGTGCGTCTGTTATTTTTCTTCTCTGTTTAAAATCTATAAAGAAAATGGGAAATAAAGTTATAATAAAGAAAACTCCTATATATTCTGTTGCAATTAAGAACGAATTTTTGTTTATTTTTTTTCCATAAGTTTGAAAACATTACTGTTCAAAAGGTATGATCTTACAGTAAAGATATCTTTAATAATTATTTCAGCATTTTTACAAAGATTATTTTTTATTAAGATTTGTATTCTAAAGAAACAAAACAATTATAATATGAGTATTTTTATGATTGCAGGCCATGATGAGTTATGGCGGGAAATGTGGAATATGTGGCGACCCCTGGGTGAGTGAAAACGCCATACGTGACAACGAGGCTGGCGGGAAGTATGCGACAGGCACTATCGTCAAATCATACACAGTAAGTATTGATATTTAACAAATAACTAAGACTACTGCATGTAAGAATGGCAATTTAAAGTTGAAGAAATTCGAGCTCCAGGGCAATTAGATGTGTACGTATCTACCAATACGTGATTAACAAAAACGATATTATTAAGTGCTCCTGAAAGTTGTATTGTTTGAAATCCGCAAAAGAAAAGGCGAAAAAACTTAGTACATAATGTATTGAATGCACATCAGTTGACGCCAAATCTGTCTTGTTCTGCTGGGAATCACATAATATCCAATCGCCAGTCACCATTTTGAAACGAACATGTAGTACAAATTATTATGGTTACATAATAATGTTTATTTAACTTTATTTTAAACTTTATTCTCTTTTTTCGGTTCTATTTATAGATGGGAGAAACAATCAATATTAAGATTAACCTCATTGCTAACCATGGTGGATGGATGGAATTCAGGATTTGCCCAAACAATGACGTCAGAAAACGCGTCACTAAGGAATGTCTTGAACGGCACGTGCTTCAAAGAGCAGACGGCACTGGAACAAAGTAAATTATTCTTAAATAATAAAAAAAATCACACACACAAAGAACATAAAGAGATTCTTGTTTGTAATTACAAAGTAATTTTTACATATAAATAATATATCTTAACAAAATGTAAAAAAAGAACATACTTTCATAAATTATGATTTAATACGAAAAACAAACATGGAAAGTGATACAAAATACATACATGGTATTATATCAGCAGAACATCATTAATGTAAAAAAAGAAACCACATAAACACAGGTTCTTGAGACGTGGGTGGGGCGGGGGATAATTGTACATATATACACTTGTAAGACAGGGCTCTTTAAGACAATTTATGAAATATGGTATTATAATCTAGGACAATAATCAATGACAGACGCACTGGTGTATGGACAATGGCTTATAAGCTACCAGAAAATATGGTGTCTTCACAATGTGTTATACAATGGAAGTATCACACAGGTAATCATTTAAAAAATAATAATAATAATAATAAAAACGTGCATTGATCATTTCACAATTTACTTTCCCGGTACTAGTCACATAAGACCGAACAGTTCATTTGAAATTGAAGAGGTTTTCAATATCTAAATATTTAAACAATGAGATACCAACAGTATCAAACGGAGTCAGTCTGTATGGATTTGTCGTGCCAGCTGGCCTGCTGGAATGCTGACTAGTGGCAAACCTGATTACTTCCGGTTCAAATAGGTTACTGGATAATACCACAAAGATTTGCATCAGTATGTTGGTCATAGAGTGTTTCAATTGAATACATTCAGAACGTATTTCACGAAATTTACTAAATAATACTAATAGACAGATTTAGAATAAACCAGTACAACTAAATTTGTCTTTTTTACTACGCATTATGTCACAATTTAAAATATATTATCTTTTTTTTGTCTTTTTTTTTTACTCATTACTGATCCATTGTTATGAGAATTAAGATGATAAACATAAATTAAAAATCTTTGAATCATTGTTCAGTACGTGTATTTATAAACTTAATAGAAAGTGAAAGACAGTTTACGGCAAGTTCGACATTCATGTTAACGTGTTTAACAGTAGGCAGTGTCTTCTAAGTAGAATGCCGGTATAAATAAATATATAACATCTATCAACATCAGTGTGTTTTTTTCAGTTAATACACATTATTATACTACATGTACTATGTTTGCGTAGGTAGCTCGTATGGTATGGACAAAGACACAGGGAAATATTGTAGCGGTTGCGGCGACCAAGAAGAATTCTACGGATGTGCAGACGTTGCTATAGTGGTAAGTTTTCAAGCACAGCAACATACGACACAAACATCTAGCTATATGTATACATCAACTACAACAAAACTACAACAAACTACAACAAACTACAACAAAACTAATTACAACAAACTACAACAAAACTACAACAAAACTACAACAAACTACAACAAAATATACACAGCGTCGGGGTGTGCACACCCAGCCACCGGTTGTATCACAAGCTCCATACTGGGATTAAAGTAACTCAAGCCTCGCCTGAAACAACAAAGGCATTTTCTGAAATGAGCCGCGTCACGACAAAACCAACATAATGGGTTTGCGACCAGCATGGATCCAGACCAGCCTGCGCATCCGCGCAGTCTGATCAGGATCCATGCTGTTCGCTTACCAACTCTATTACAAGTAGAGAAACTGATAGCGAACAGCATGGATCCTGATCAGACTGCGCGGTTGCGCAGGCTGGTCTGGATCCATGCTGGTCGCAAACGCACTATGTTGGTTTTGTCATGACGCGGCTCAAATAAACGCATATAATACATATAAAATATTCTTTCTTTGCACACTTTGGTTACATAACGACCATGTCCCTTGTGACTGACGGATTGCCTTTAATGGTTGAGGCATAAGAATTGCAGCCACTCTTTATCCCTCGTGATCGTTATTGTCGACACGGAAACGTACTTAAAGTACGTATAAAATTATCAATAAGATCAATTATTATCAGTGTAGCAATACCATGTAAACATGACGTCATTTTCAGCATCATTTCAAAGACAAATAGTGCTCGATTCGAAAAAAGAAAATAGCCGTAAGTATTTTATTTCTGCACCAATTTCTGTGTGACATGTATCAGTCTACGGGGAAAAATTGAGTTTGCCACAGAAAATTGGATCTTTTCAGTATATTAACTATTTTATCAAACACTTTGCATAACTTTGGAAGTTGTTTGTGTAGGAGCGGACTTAAATTGCAAGCTATTTTATTTTCTTGCATTATCTGATCTTCGCCATGAATACAAAATATATTATATATAGCCTAACGGCTCGGGTGATATAAAATCTTAGCAGGTAATATATCCACATATATCACTCCAAAACCAAAATAATAATTTTATTACCCTTCCCCTGCCGAGTTTAGACGATTTTTAAAAAAATCATTGTTGTTTCAAATGAAACGTCGAAATAAGATTCCCTTTAGGGTACCCCTTCATCACAACATGACGTCACATAAATACATGACGTATTTTTTCCCGTACCTAACGAATGTAAACAAGAGAAAAGGAGTAGTCTATTGAACGCACTTTTTTGTAATTAATATCAAGCTTTCACAAGGTCATATTTGTTTTCAATACTGATGAGAATATGTATCATTACTTTACTTTGGTAAACATTTATCATTTGACAGTTAAAAAGTGCTTGTAAATCGGAATTTACACCGCGTAAAATCGAACCGTACGCGCATCACCTCAGCGCATGTTGTTTACAACGTGGGGTACCCAACGGGGAAATTTAGTGTGTATATTACCCGTCTGGCTCGGTAATATCAATTTCTTTCGGGTGATCAATAACCAATCAAAAAGGCGGAAAACAATCTGGAAGGGTAATAAATATATATATATATATATTTTTTCCTTGCATACATTTAAGTGAAATTATGCCCATCAAAAAGGTATACCATGAGAGACAAGGTGAAACATTTTGTCATATCTTTTCAATTTTATAATTTACTTAGCATGAACGATAATTCATACACATTCGGAATTTTTTTCTATATAAACAAAAAAGGCCCGAAGCGTGCATTATTCTACAACAATGCACTCGCCGTTCTTATTATCTCCCTGTGTAGTTTCACATGGATGGCGCCATTTTGTTTAAAAAATCTGATAAACAAAAACAATTTTTTTGTCGAATTTTGTTGTGAAAACTATCTAGAATGAAAGAAAATGGTCTAACTAAGAAAATGAATCCGAACACCAATATCTTTGATTTAGTCGTAACGCTGTACAGCCGTTTAAAGTGTTGTTTACGTGACGTCACAATGTAGCGCCAAACAGCAAGTGCAAAACAATCAAATCAAGTACGCAAACATAAAGTCCAACTTTATAATAATAATTATATTTTTCTTGACGTGTTAGAAAAATTGAGTTGAATGGAAATAGATATTAATTCTTCGTGCATTATTGAAGAATAATGCACGTTTTTAGTTCAAATGCTTTGAAATTAATCACTCAGGCCTATCGGACTTCGTGATTATATTACTACGCATTTGAACTCAAACCGTGCATTATTCTACAACAATGCACTCAGAATTAATATCTATTTCCTAAATAACTCACGTGGCCTATTAAAAATCTGTAATTGTAACTGTTATTTTAACTTTGACGTTTTATTTATAAAAAGAAATGAGGCAGTCTTTTTATATATTATCAGAATGATTGTGTAATAATACGGAGCCCCTAAGGTGACATTCTCGACACTTTTACCCCGGCACTTAATTCGTTTTTACGAAATATTAATTCGTAATTACGAAATATCAATTCGTTTTTACGAAATATTAATTCGTTTTTACGAGATATTATTTCGTAATTACGAAATATTAATTCGTAAAAACGAAATGTTATTTCGTAATTTCGAAATATCAATTCGTTTTTACGAAATATTAATTCGTTTTTACGAAATGTTAACTCTTAATTACGAAATATTATTTCGTTGTTACGAAATATTAATTCGTAAATACGAAATGTTATTTCGTAATTACGAAACATTAATTCGTTTTTACGAAATCTTATTTAAGGTCATTTTGAGCTTGATAATGAACCTATTAATCTCACAAATGGGTCATTTACATGCCTTGATCAACTTTGCGATTATAAGCCGAATTGTTCTCAAGTTATTATATTTAAGTGAACAGGGTTTTTGAGTGAGAAGTCATTCTCTATCCAAAATGGTCTATTTTCCCCATTGTCAAAACAATGTTCCTATCAGCAATGTTTTAATGATTGAGGCAATCTTTTACGACATGTATCTTTAAAACAGAAACATGCTATATTATTCCGTTCTTTTATCATATACATAAGTAAAACTAATGGGACGAGGAGGGGGTTGGTCCAGATTTCACTAATCTAATCAATTTAAAATGAATATTTCCTCACAATTTAGTATTAGAAATGTCCGTGTTTGGATTTGAAGCACAGGACCCCCATTTTAAGTAAATTTTCCTAGCGCGTGTCTTTCACGGCTGTGGCTCAACGCTATTGACATGCGAATATTTTAATTTATGTACAATAGTGTAAAGTTAAAAAACTTGGGGTGAACAAAAATCACTATTTATATTGCACGTACATGCCTTATATTAAGTCAGGAACTTAGTTTTGAGGCCTTATTTATAAATATTACCAAAACTCTTTGAAACGCTAGAAAAAATTTAATTCGTTTTTACGAAATATTATTTCGTATTTACGAATTATTTTTTCGTAATTACGAAATAACATTTCGTTTTTACGAATTAATATTTCGTAATTACGAAATAATATTTCGTAATTACAAAATAATATTTCGTAAAAACGAATTAATATTTCGTAAAATATTTCGTAATTACGAATTAATATTTCGTAATTACGAAATAATATTTCGTAATTACGAATAAATATTTCGTAAAAACGTATTAATATTTCGTAAAAACGAATTAATATTTCGTAAAAACGAAATAATATTTCGTAATTACGAATTTATAATTCGTAAAAACGAATTAATATTTCGTAAAAACGAATTATTATTTCGTAATTACGAATTATTATTTCGTAAAAACATATTAAATTCCGGGGAAAAAAGTACGGAAAATGTCACCTTAGGGGCTCCGTATAATAATGATGTGCAAACATAATGATGTGCAATATTTCGTAATTACAAAATAATATTTCGTAAAAACGAATTAATATTTCGTAAAATATTTCGTAATTACGAATTAATATTTCGTAATTACGAATTAATATTTCGTAATTTCGAAATAATATTTCGTAATTACGAATAAATATTTCGTAAAAACGTATTAATATTTCGTAAAAACGAATTAATATTTCGTAAAAACGAAATAATATTTCGTAATTACGAATTAATATTTCGTAAAAACGAATTAATATTTCGTAAAAACGAATTAATATTTCGTATTTACGAATTAATATTTCGTAAAAACGAATTATTATTTCGTAATTACGAATTATTATTTCGTAAAAACATATTAAATTCCGGGGAAAAAAGTACGGAAAATGTCACCTTAGGGGCTCCGTATAATAATGATGTGCAAACATACTTAAAGATATATTATGCTCATTTTTGAGTAAACTATTTTAAGCACAGAAATTGATTGAAACCTGTAAAATTCTTAATGACTATGTCTAATTTGAATAAAAAGAATGTATAAACTGTGTATGGGAAGCTGTGTTTCCTATTACAGGTCAAGGTAAGTTGGTCTTTCCTTTAAGAAACTGCCAGTTTGTTTTAATGACACTATATATTCATATCGTGACCACCTATAGTGTGTAGAATTTTAAACATCACGTATCTACTTTGTATAAATTCAAAAAATGTTCATTTTGTATTTGCAAAGAGACTGTGTTGCAATTTTAATAATTTTCTAGGATCAAACTTGAGCATAGTATTTCTTTAAACAAACTGTTGTTTCGTCTAAGTCTAAAAGTTTACCTTTTTAAGGGAATCATACCTAGATCAAATTAAAAATTCACATTTCCCGGCACTCATTGTCAAATTAAGGGGAGGATAACTTCCCTAAGTTTATGATACTAGATTCTTCACGTGCCCTCTCTGTTTTAATGACGTAGATGATGAATATCACATTCAATTAAGTTGTACACACTATGGTTCTTTACGTAAAAATATTCTACCAAATTCCTTCACCTGAAAAGTTAATATCTTTTCTAAGAAACGCCGATGCAATATTATAATACACTATAGCATACCATTATAACCATGCATGCATTTAAATATAGACGTTAATTT